GTGCTACTCTAGCTCCTACTAGCGCCCAGCGCTGAAGACTACTGCCAACGCTACTACTACTACTGCAGCGCTCCTCCAGAGTGCTGCTGCGAAATCCTGAAGACTACCTCCTGCCTCCTGAACTGCAAGTGAAGTGCTTGGGAAGTCCCTATGAACTACCTGCAGCCTGCAGTGCAGGCCAGTCCTATATAGTGCTGGCCCGTCCAGGAGGCTGCTCTTGCCAATGCCAAAACGTGCCAGACCCTGGCGTTGAAGCTTAACCAAAGGTTCTCTTGAAAACAGCCCCAAAATGGCCTGTGCTAAAACCCTGGTCTGGTGCCTAAGTTTTAAGGCAGGTCGATCTTATGAGGGCCTTAAAATGGCCCTCCGTTTCAGGCTGAAAAGACTCAGGGCCTGGAGGGCCCTGTTTTAGGCTGAAACGACACAGGGCCTGTAGGCCCTTGTTTTCAGGGTTTCAGGCTGAAACGACACAGGGCCTGTAGGCCCTTGTTTTCAGGCTTTCAGGCTGAAAACAACACAGGCCTGAAAATGTCCCGTGCAGCCTGTTGCAGGCGCAGGATGTAACACTGTCTGACAAGTCGTGGATAAACCGACCATCGACAAACTGAACCGGTGAATGCTAAATAAACTGGCTCCGCGTCACTGCACATCCGGCATGGAATGCAAACAAACCTCGCTCGACAAAACTGGCACCCACACTGACAGGCCCAACTCAGATGGTACACCCACGAACTGTTGAAATACAGACCAGAGATCGAGTACAGATGCACCAGATGCATAGACTCAAATACCTCCGAATTACCTGGGGCCAGCCCATTCAATGATGATAACGCACGGGGAACTAAAAAAAAACAGAAACTGGCACCCGCTATCCACCACTCTCTATAGCCCGACAACTCATTCTGAAGTATCCCTCAAACGAGAATTGACAACAGCCTTCTCCTCTATCCCTCAGCACGTGCCATTAAGAAGACGTCGATGGCTCCAAAAGACCACAAACATCCACACTTATCCCAGACATCCACCCTTATCCGGTTCATTAAGTGTCCTAGATTCACAGCCAGGGGCAGGCCCCACTGAGCTATGTCCATCTATAAGTCGTGAGATTCCGATACTACTGCCATTGAGTGTCAATTATCAAATTTACAATCTGGTTGTGGCCGTCAGATTTCCCCACCACCAGACACCATCCAGTGGGGCATGTATCTGAGGCTTCATCCAGGGGTTTTAAGAGCATAACCTGCCATTAGGCGCCATCCCCACACTCTCCAACAGCGAGAGGTGAGGCATCACCACACAGCCCCTCAAAAGAAGACTATCTCTTAATTCAATGTGATCCAATTTCGAACCATCAGCCTCTTCCATACAATCCTCAGCTCAAACCTACTGAGCTAGGGTGTCAACTAGTCTGGTTGATACGCAGCATGAGACAGGGAAACAACTGCACAATTATCAGAAATTTTGAGAGTTCTCCTTCACAAAAAAAAGAAAGAAAAAGAAAATTTGAAAAGTACTGCAGCCTGCAGCACCCCTTGTTTCGTCCGTGATCAGCCGTTCTCTCAGCACAACCGTCAAAACTTGAGAGTAGGCCTGACGACAAGGGTTTGTCCATTCCTCTCGGACTTCTATCTTTTTCCAGTCACCTCTCACAAGTTTGCCGTTCAAGAGTACTACCTGTGTGCCAAAGCCGGCAAAGCTCACGAATTTCGCACCTCCAAATGTCGTTAGTCCTCTGGAAAGCTAGCTTTTTCATTCCCAAAGTAATGTGGCAAGGCCCTTCGGGTGTTCATTCGTAAAATTGACAGTCTGGTTGTACCGTCAAGCACCAGGCGAAGTTCAATGGTGTACTTTGGGACATCCGTCAAGATTGAAAAGAAACACGGAAAATTAACATGGCCCCTGACACAAGGATGACAGGCAGAAAACGAGAACTGGTTATAAATTACGGAGAAAAGGGGAAGAGAAAAAGTCCTATGCGGCCCGCCCCTGAGTCTCGTTCAGGGGCTTCAACAGCCTTTCCAGTGTCAGGCTGACAGAAAATTGTTTCACATTACTGGCCCGCCCCTGAGTCTCGTTCAGGGGCTTCAACAGCCTTTCCAGTGTCAGGCTGACCGAAAATTGTTTCACATTACCGGCCCGCCCCTGAGTCTNTTGTTTCACATTACCGGCCCGCCCCTGAGTCTCGTTCAGGGGCTTCAACAGCCTTTCCAGTGTCAGGCTGACCGAAAATTGTTTCACATTACCGGAGTCTCCAGTGTCAATTGAACTGATCTCCAGCGGCATTAGTCTCCCAACACCAAGACCTGAAACCGTTTTCACCTTTCTGCAGTCACAGATGCGGGCCCTAGAGTTCGATCCCCAGACCTCACCTTACCCATGTACAGTATCAAGTCGTCCCTTGAGTGTTTGAACCCGAGACCTGTGTTGTGGTAGTTGTTTGTTCTGTCGTAGGTCTGTGTAGTGGTACGGATTCGATCTGTAGGTCTGTCGAGTAAAGGTCACAGCTCTGTAGAGGTCGTAGCTGTAGATGTTCTGAAAGGTCAAGGTCGTAGCTGCTACAGTCCTGAAAGGTCAAGGTCGTAGCTGCTACAATCCTCGAAAGGCCAAAGTCCACAGACTTCCGGAAGGTCTGGAAGTGGCCTTTCAAAAGTGTCTCACGTTTAGTCTGAGGCAAGTGGGCGAGTGGTGAGCCCAATGGCATTGAGTCGGCAGTCCAACCCTGTGCAGTAAGCCGTACCAGTCCCAGTCAGTCGCAGCCCAGTCAAGCAAGTACCGTGTGGGACTGTGTGCACCGAGGGCCTGGTGGAAAGGGGCAGACCAACGAGTTACAGAAGTATAAATCAAGAGGCAGCGTCCAGCATACATTCATTCGCTGTGTAAGCCATGCAGAAGCGCTGCCCCAGCGTCTTGTGCGAGGTGGTCTGCAGAGCTCCCGAAGCCAAAGTGGGCAAGAAGAAGATAGATTAGCCATAGTAGTAGTAGCGAGCGGCCATAGCCGCCATAGGTTAGATTTAGCTGTTAGTGAGTATGTGCGAGTGAGACAGAGTCAGTGTGTGTGGGGTATTCAGGGTGATCCAGAGTCGAGTGTATGCGAACAGGGGTGTTGGACACAGTAACGAGAGTTGGGATGTACAGGCGCTGATGCGCTATAGCCTATTGAAGCGAGTTTGCATCTGAACTGTGAGTGGGCGCACAGCGCCAAGTGTGAATCGCCATCTGTTTGCATGTGTGTGAAGCAGAAAAGAGAGCGAGTCTGATTGCAGACCAATCACTTGTCCAAAACAGAGTCTGCCAGGGCTTTTTTTACTTGGCTCTGTTCCATGATTACGTTCCGATGCATCTAGGTCTAGCCGTAATTGCAGTCACGTACAAACGAAAGTGCTAGTGTGAGCATGCCCTCACAGCAAGGTATGTTACCATCCATGTCTGCTTACAGTGAAAAACAGAAATACTCTACCGTTATTTTACCATCCGCTACCATACATTTCCAGTCAGACTTACACTGAAACACAGCCCGTGAACATCCCGTTCCCAATGAAACACACTCAGTTAAACCCACCAGTACATCCAAAAAAGCATATTAAGCCTGTCCCTAAAAAAAAGGAGGCCATGAACCACCACCACCAGTACATTCGAAAAAGGAGATTGAGCCTCTCCTAAAAAACAGGCAGCAACCAACTGGCCTAGCTCGGTTGGTACACCCCTCAACCGTTGAAATACAGACCGGAGTTCGAACTCCACTGAAAGCAGACGAATGAAATAGCACAATTCTGAATTATCTATGGCCGTTCAGTTTGATGATGATATCTCAAGGCCATCACCCAAAAAAAAGAAAAAGGTTGCCATGAGCCGCCAATTCATTTTATCGACGGTCCACGGCCTCTGAATATTTAGGAGAGGCTCAATCTGTTTTTCCGGATGTACTGGTCAATTAACATCCGTTTCCAGTCAGATTTACAGCGAAACACAGTCGTGCGCAACATTGCAAACCGCTAGTTTTACCACTTACATCCGTTAACAATAGAAAAAGAAACGGTCATCCGCAACATATCTGTTGACAACTAAAAACAGTTATCAGCAATGTAATTTACAATTTACAGTTTAATTAAATAAATACAAGATGACGGGCCGCGGCTTCGGCCGCGGCAAGAAGAGGACAGATTGTGAGAATTGAGGAGAAGGGATTCGACAAAAGATGTAGATACGCAACATTTCATGTGGACATCGGGAAAAAAAAAAACAATTCAGAAAGGAAAAAAAGGAAAAAGAATAGCGCTATCAGTTTATCGCGCGTGTCTTGAAACACGGACCTGACATGTGATACCCATTTTTTTGCACTATACCAATACTTTGCATTCGAAGAGGAGTGTCCGCTGCAGTTGTAGAGGTGTGGTGTTGTCTGTTGTCGGTGAGCTTCATCCGAAGCGGCCAGAGGAGTCTTAAAAGACTAAGTCAAAAAAAAAAAAAAAAAAAAAAGATCAAGCGGGACCTCGTCGCCCCCATCTCACATCCCGACTTCCCCCGTCCCTTGTCGTGATCTTCCCTCACCCATCCCGACTCCCATCCCAATTTCCCCCTTCCCGTATCGTCCTCATCCCACAGTCCCACCCCGACTTCCAGACCTATCCCTCCTCATCCCGACCAGACTGCCCCCCTCCCCTATTCCGACCTCGTCGTTTCCATCCCACATTCCGGCCCCGACCTCCAGATCTCTCCCTCCTCATCTCGACGTCGTCGCTCTTCGCACCTTTTCTCCCTTCTCCCATCCCGACTTCGTCGGCCCTATCCCGTATCCCGAGCTCATTGCCCCCACCCCCAAAGAAAAAAAAAAATAATAATAACTATGTCCCGACTCTCCACCTCGCCTATCCCGACCTCGTCGTCCCCATCCCACATTCCCACCCCGACCTTCGGACCTCTCCCTCCTCATCCCGACCCGACTCCGTCCTTCGCCGACCTCCGGACCTTTCCTTCCTCATCCCGACTCAACTCCCTCCCTCCCCTATCCCAACCTCGTCGTCCCCATCCCAGATTCTGACCCCGACCTCTGGACCTCTCCCTTCTCATCCCGATGTCGTCCCTCCTCGCACCTTTTCCCCCTTCTCCCATCCCGACCTCGTCGCCCCCATTCCCCATCCCGACGTCGATGCCGAATTCCCCCTTCCCTATCCCAACTTCCCCCTTCCCCCATCCTGACTTCGATTACGTCTTCCCCCCTTCATTATCTCGATCTCGTCGCCCCCATCCCGATCCCCCTTCGAGTTCTCCCTCCCCTATCCCCTATCCAGACTTCCTCGCCCCCATCGCCGAGTTCTCCCTCCCCTATCCCCCTCTATGGCCGGGCAGTTTGATGATGATATCTCAAGGCCATCGCCCAAAAAAAAAAAGGTGGCCATGAACCGCCAATTCATTTTATCGACAGTCCACGGCCTCCGAATATTTAGGAGAGGCTCAATCTGCTTTTCCGGAGGTACTGGTCAATTAACATCCGTTTCCAGTCAGATTTACAGCGCTACATTGCAAACCACTAGTTTTACCACTTACATCCATTAACAGTAGAAAAAGAAACGGTCATCCGCGACATATCTGTTGACAACTAAAAACAGTTATCAGCAACGTAATTTACAATTTACAGTTTAATTAAATAAATAAATAAACAATCAATATGATGTCGTTTACAGTCAAACAGTCACTTGACATAGTTATCGGATTGCTACGCAGAACAGTAACTGAACCACCACATAGTTTACCAGTATACCTGCCTGTACATGGTCACGCGGTACATAGTTCACCGATTGCTACGAAGAACAGTAACTGAACCACAACATAGTTTACCAGTATAGCAGCCTGTACATNCCAGTATAGCAGCCTGTACATGGTCACGCGGTACATAGTTCACCGATTGCTACGAAGAACAGTAACTGAACCACAACATAGTTTACCAGTATAGCTGCAACATAGTTTACCAGTATAGCTGCCTGTACATGGTCACGCGGTACATAGTTCACTGATTGCTATGAAGAACAGTAACTGAACCACAACATAGTTCACCAGTATAGCTGCCTGTACATGGTCACGCGGTACAGTTCAATACACCGCGCACCGCACATGGCCACGCGTCAAAGATCCAGGCAAATGCTAACAGAAGGGAGAGCAGTTCAATACACCGCGCACTGCACATGGCCACGCGTCAAAGATCCAGGCAAATGCTGACAGAAGGGAGAGCTTGAAGCCGAAGTTGCCCAACATTGTTTCCTCCACGATTACTCAAAGAACGGGTGAAGGCGAGGGTCGGACACATTCGCGATGTCCTACTGCTGTGTTAGTGTTACATACTTCAATGAGTATGGGCAGAACCAAAGATCAACCAATATAGGATGAGCATGCATGCAGCGGAAGTCTGATAACGAACTGACTCACATAGACTGACTCACATAGCATCACTCCACACACATACAATCGTGAGATGGTGGGGTCTGAGCCATACAAAGAAGGTGCTCAGCCCCGTACACAACCTACACAGATGAATGGGGGAGGAGAGACGAAGGAGGTGGGGTAGGTAGACAGCACTGAAAGTCACCGAGATAGAATCTGATAGGTCACCGATATGGTAGTCCAAAATGTCATCCAACAAGATCAAAGTGTCGAGGACGATAGGTCACCAATGTCGGAGGT